TAAGGTATACTAACAACACATACCTGTGATAATGTTTCTGTTGTTGGAACAGGTAACGGCAAATCAGTTATCATGCCAAAGGAAGGAGCTGCAGATCTGTCTGTAGTATAACCTGAAGAAAGTGATTCTGCAAGGGGTACAGATGCTACAGACCTATTTGTTTCTTGTGGCAGATATGGAGAAAGAAATGGAAAATTCTGAGCATATGTAGGAATTCCAGCTGGTTTGCTGTAAAGGCTAAGGGGGAAAACAATCTATTATCAGCAAATTATTTTGCAACATTTTCAGGTTTTTCTGCTCAAAATAAAATTGCATTAAGTATTAAAGAGGTTTCTGGTTAAACACAGTTGCAATTAATCCTAAATGAACTCATGACAATTCATCCTAGTAATCTTATCAATGTCAGAGAGATCACATTGTTAAGGATTCCAAAAATTATTTTAGGTATGCCCTACATCAATGGAAATTTTAGTAAAAATGTGCATCCAGGGAAACAATGTTAGAGAAACTGAGAATTGTTTTGCTGAGAATTGTTTAAGCTGCAGATTTCTAATTCATTATTAAATGCTTCTGAAAGTCAGTTTCAAAGGACACTGGGAAAAGAGCTATTTGAAAAGCAATAATCCACCATCTCCTTAGGCATATAGACATGACAATTCTCAATTAATTAAAACTGAGAGGCTAATTGAAAACTTCAGCAATGTTTTATGATGAATCACTTGTGTCAAACTAGCGAGTCTTTTCAACACTAATCACAATCCAAAGTATAAGATAATGCACTTAATATTTAGATGCTGAAATTTAGAGAAACTTTGGTTTCTAGTGAAAACAAACCTGGAAGTGCTGGGATAATGGATCTGACACTATTACAGCTAGGCCAATATATCTTTATACTTGCTGATACTTGCTATAAACTCCCCCTTTCTGGGTCACATAATGCCCCCTCTCTGTATCTCTTTTGACTATACAAGCATTCTTACATGTGCTCATAAGTTGAGATGGATCAGGGAAATAAACATGTGTAGAGCTAAGGGCCTTCAATACTACAAGACACAATCTCCAATTTTCATGTACATGCATTAGCCTTGTGCCTAGCAGAGAACAGCTCAACCCAAAATACAAAACAGTCTGATTTCATTCAAATCTGTCTATTTAATGCAGCACCTGCATGAGATAAAGAAAACAGATTCCTAATATAGGGTTGATAGCCAAACCCTGATTTAATTGTAATGTTTGATCTGAGATGGGACCATAGTCTGCAGTTCAGGTGTAGGATGAATTTATGCACATAAGTATATTACAGATAGTGATGTTGTTTGAAATTATCACCATATTTTAATGTGCTTACTTACTATGGGAATGTTGTTGCATTGGGAGCCAAAACTGGAGGATTTTTCCAAAATTCATCAAGTATACTTTGCACAATTTTGCCAAGGTCAGAGTGCATTGTAAACTGTTAGGTTTAAAAAAATATAACATGGTTAAAAAAATCTGTGCTATAGAACAAAGCCCATTTTCATTGATTTAAGACAACTTAAAAGAGCCAGTTTGGTGTAGTGGCTAAGGTACTGGGCTAGAAAGGAAGCTTTTTAGGCCTCCCTTAGGCATGAAAGCCAGGTAGGGTGACTTTGGGCCAGTTATTCTCTCTCAGCCCACCCCATTGCACAGGATTGTTGTTGTGGGGAAACAGGAGGCAGGAGTATTAAGTATGTTTACCGCCTTGAATTAGATGAAAAAGTAGGATAAAAATCTAATAATAATAATAACTGTGGGGGCTCTCTTAGACGATGGATGCAAGTGTCAGTGTTACATGCAATGAGGCCCAGTTTTGTCCTCTGTATGCAGAAAGAGAGAGCTGACAAATAATCTGGAATTATGAGGATTTAAAAGTAGAAGACCAGGAGCTCTGTAAAAAAAAAAAAAAAAAAAAAAAATCACTTTTTTAAATAAAAAAATTAGTTTGGAAAAACCACTAAAAATGTGGCTTTTTGTTCAAGAAATTTAACGGGAAAGCTACTATCTGCACAGAGCCAAGAGGTCAGTAACTTAACATATTTTAAAACATTAATAATTCTGCAATACAATATAACTATTGCCAGTTGTACATATTGAAAAAGACATGCAATTTTACTATTGATTATTCTAAAAAATGATTCATTTATACATACATTACTAATTAATGGAGAGGTCACATATACTCCTTGTTTGTCCATTACATGATGCCGTATTGGGGGGAAAACAGTGATGACTGGCTTTTCCTGAGGAAACTGGGGAGGAAGCAATCTGTAAACACCAAGATATCTGATTATTATAACTTTAGTTTTAGCTCTCTGTTACATCACCCTTCAAAATATAAAATTTGCCTTTCTAGAGAATGTGGACAACTGGGAATGAAAGTAGTTTTTTTCCTGACAATTTCTGTACAACCAGAATCCAATCACAAATATAGTTCATCCATTTGAATTCTAGCATTTACAACAGAAACAACACACAGCCCATGTACTGACTCTAGCTAATCAAAAGTCAACCAACAATTGAAACAAGTGTCCTACTCAAGACAGTGATTAGTGAAAACTACACTTACGTATAAGCTAAAAATATAAGAAAGTGGTTTGTTTCAAAGAAAGCATTAGTAAACCAGAATCATAAAGCACTACTAACACTTCCTTTTGCCAAACTGCAGTTAGTTCTAAAGTCATGAAGGAAAAGGAAAGGAGCATTCATTGACATAACTGAGATCATCTAAGACCTAGACCCCCAATGTGGGAGTGACTGCAGGCTCCATGTCCTATCTAATTTGATTTTTAAAGACTCTTTTTATTCTAAAAATGATTAGGAAGCTATTATGCTGCAAAGCAATAGACACATGCACAGAATACTGCTTTACTTTCTAAGAGGCATGTATCAGAAAATTAAAAAGTGCCCCATTGCAACCCAGTATTTTATTTGCTTTCTGGAATACTGGCATTTTGTTACTGACCACACTATCATCACAATAATTTTACCAACATGTCCATAACATGTTGTCAAAATTGCAAATGTGCTTACTAGCCCAGAAAAGTTGGAATCCCTGTTTAGGTGATTTTTTTCTGAATCAGATGTTTGAAGGTAGGTGAACAAAGGGCTTTTTATTCAAATCTCCTAGAAGAAATGTTAATTTTGATGTCAAAGTAACGTTAGGAGCACTCCCAGAAATTAAGTTAATGAAGCAAAACATCTTCATAAAACTGAATGATTATCATTTGTTTAAATCTGTAAGAAAAAAAAATGCCAGTAAATAAAGCTGTTGACAATTTTGCCATACAGATGCAGGCAATGTGCTCCTGGTGAGACACACCGAAAAAACATTTTCACTCCCCTTATATTTTATCTAGACTATGAGACAAGAGAAAACTCACACTAGTCCCAATATGGTGTGAAAAAAAAATTAACGGAAGACTCTCCAGTCAACACTGATTCATTAAGCATGATTTCAGCTTTCAACATGACATACAGTCAAATCACAAGATACTCACATATTTATATTAACTGTCAGCTTATTTACAGTGAATGGCAACCGATATTCCACATCTTTTTGTATTTCAGCTATACTAAAAAGAGAAATGTAAGTGTTCATTAATGTTTCCTGGAATCATTAAATCAAATATAAAACAAATGCCAAATTAAGCATCTAAAATGCCACAGATTTTAAAGGACAAATCAAACTTTAATTTCTTCTCTTAGAGACTCTAAATTACAACTAAACTAAAATTGGTTTCTTTTATAGCTGGGTTCCTCCTCTATTTTTGTCAACTTAATTTCGAATAAAATCTCTGAGGATCTCAGAAAATATGAGAATGGGCTTTTGAAGGCAGATTGGTCTCTGCAGTTGAAATAGAAGGTGGTAACTTGTTCACAAGAAAACCAACAGGAATATGTGCAGGCAACTTGTTTTGCTGAAGGGAGCTGAGAGGGTTATGGTGAACCAGCATTTAATCACTTCCTGTTCCCTAATACAGGAAGGGCAAGTTCCCTTACCTGTAAGGATGGTATTAGTCTCTAGATTGCAATCAAACTATTTTCAGTTTGGGTAGGCGTTGCCTTCTGCATGTCAGCTGCTCTTTTCCACTAGAGTTTTGTGACTGCCCCTTCCTCTGCCCACCAACCCTTTCAGGCTGCAATGTCAAGGCACACCTTAAATATGCCGCTACCACTACTACTACTATTATTTTAAATTTATTGGCCGCCCAACTCCATGCATTATGCATTCCTTTAAAGAAGACCCCTCGTTTGCCCTGGTTTAAGGCTGTTTCCAGCTGAGGAGCTATCCATGCCGCCTACTGAAGAAAGGCACGTAGTGTGGAGAGACCGCGCAGTGTGGCCCTGATCCTCTCACACACCCCTCCTCCCCGCAGGAGAGACTGATTTCCAACCGCTTTTATGAAAAGGAGCTGGGCGGTGATTCCCTCCCCCCACGGGGGTGTCACTCACGCGGCATGGGCGCTGCGCAGGGACTCGATCTGCCGTTGCCGCTGCTGTTGGAGGCTGGTGAGAGTCGAAGGCAACGCAGCTCCGCCGGCGGAAGAGGAGGAAGAGGCGGCGGCGGCGGCCCCGCCACCGCTACTCCCTTTGGAGTAGTGGAAGAGCCAGCTCATCCTCTCTCTAGCTCCCCTTGCCAACCGAGGAAGAGCAAGACGGTACGCGGAAAGGGGCCTTTCCTTGGCCTCGCCGCCGGTGCCGCCGCCTCGTCTCCCTGAGCGGGTCTCTTCTCCTGCCCCAGCAGAAACCGAAGCTCTGAGAGAGCGAACGCGAGCGACACTGCCGCTCCTCCCGGATCCTGAAGAAAAACACGCTTGCGCGCGACCCGCTATCACGTCATCGCCGGCCTTCGCCTTCCATTGGTGGAAAGCGCCACGAGGGGCTAGTTCGGAGCCCGATTGGCCGAACGCTGCCGGGTCTCCGCGGCCGGGAAAGGAGCGTGAGGGGGGAGCAAGCAAGAGAACCAAGGGTTGAAAGGTTAGGAGCGCGGCGCGCGCTGATGATGTAATGGCTTTGTGCGCTGGGAGGCTGGGGGGAAGCCGCGCGAGTGGTTTTCCGCGCTTTCTCGCTCTCGCTCGCTGCGTCGGGGCTGCTTCCGCCGCCGGGTCCCCGCTCGACCCCCTCTCTTCCCCTCGCGTGAGTAACCGCTCCTTCTTCCGTTAGGGAGGGGCGCGAGGAGCGGCGGCGACATTTCTCGGTGGGGGGGGGCGCAGGTGGGGGGGAGAGAGAGTAAAGTGGAACCGCGCGCGCGGTCCGGCGGCGAACTTTTCTTTCCGTAACCGGGGGGAGGGGGGAGAGGCAGAAGACCGCGAGCCGAGGCTGGCGCTGGGAGGGCAAAGGTCTCCTGTCCCACCTTTGCTTTAGCTTCATCCTGTACGGTCCAAGCTGTCTTTCCTTACGGACAGCGAAGCTATCTTGCCTCACCCTGAACAGGTCTAACTAAGGCAACTTCTGCTGCTCCCTTTTCTGAGGTTCCCTCCCCCCCCAAAAAGAAATGGTGCAGGAAGATATAAGAATTAGGTCGTCTTCAATTCCTGGCCATTGCACGGACTTATCTTTGTTATTATCTTTAGCAATAACAAAGGTACGATAAGTATGTGTTCGCGTATATCGAAGTGGGTTGATAAATACGCATTCTTCTCCCTAAGCCAGGTTTCCCCAAACTGGTCAGTATCGACCGCCGAGGGTCGACGGGACTTTCCAAGGTCGTCGTCGGTGTTGTTATTTGTAGTACTATTAGTTAAAGTACTGTGGGGGTTAGTGACAATCTGAAACTTCATGAAGGGGTTGATGAGCTGAAGAGTTTGGGGACCCCTGGCCTAAGCTGTGCTATGGCACTTTGGGGCAGAAGCATAAATAGCAAAATGAGGCTGCTGGATTTTTTATTTTTTTCAGTGAAAATAAAAGGGAAGGTATTGAACAGAACAACTGAAACGACCATCTCTATATTTCACTGTTGATTTGGGCCTTCCCCAACCATCTGTCTTCCAGATGATTTCTTGTTATCTTCTGCCTTTGGCTGTGAGGTAGCCTAACAGATCCACAGGGTACAAGATTAAGAGCGGGTGGTTAATTCGATAACAGATAATTAATCTTAAAAACTCTTTGTAGCTGCAATGGATAAACTAGGTTGCTTCTGTTACATGTAGGCACTGGTGACATATCAACATTGATACAATTACATCTGATCAGATTGTTATAGGCTTACATAAGTAACATGCATAGATCTTGATGAAATTTTCAAGGGCTTAATGTTTTTTGTGCTTAACTCTGAACCAGACCAAGGAAATTCAGTTTTCCTAGGAAAGACTTACATCTTTGTTTAATGCTTTGGTAATTGTTAATCTGTTCCATGCCTTAAAACAGGGGCAGCAATCTTGTCCTTTCCAAATGATCTGGACTACAGCTTCCATATTTCCCAGCAAACAGTGTCAGAGGGCAAACATTTTAAGTCCAAATCAGTTGGTGAATATTGAGTTGCCAATTGCTATAAACATTTAGGGGAGGCTGCAGTCTAGAACTGTATTGTTTCTGCTTCAGATTATTACTTGCGCAATAACATTTCTGATGGGGCACTCTTTAAATATGCAGAACAATGTTTTAAGTTCTTAGTCTTTAACAGCAACAACAAAAAAACCACTTTGTCTTCTAGATCACAGAGGCCTGTTTTTTTTTCTCACCTTTTTCAGTATAGTACAGTTACATTCTGTTAAATGATCTTGTGACCTGCTTCTGTGATTATTACTGCTTTTTCCATTTTCTTTCTCTCATCCACACACAAAATAAAAATTTTGAACCACTTTCTGTAAGTGCAGGTTGCAGAAATGTGTGAGAGGAGAAGAAAATACTTGCACATAATCTTTGGTTTTATAATTTTCTTCAGGCAGACCCAGGAAATGAGCATACATTTGGTAGCAGGATACAGAGCTCTTATTTTTATATGAATTACCTACCTGTTTCTTGATCAATTGACGTGGTTTTGTTTTATATTAGTGGCTAGTATAAATACTAAACTTCACTACTGCTGTTGATATTAACCAATTACCAAACTTGGCTTAACTAAAATGTGTTAGGAACAAATGGCTCTTATTTTACTAGATTAAATTGAAATGAAATTATTCAAGATTGCCATCTTAAACATGCTAAACAAACCCCATAGAAATAAATGACAGTTCAAACTAAGTTTCTGGATGCATATTAGCATGAGTATAATTGAAATAGAGGGATTTACTTCTGAGTTAATATGAATAAAATGGCTGTACGTACTTAGGTTTAAGAGCACGCTGGAAGAATTCTTCATGGAAGCTTTTAGTAAAATCAAATCTGTGCAAATTAAGTTTTATTTTTTTGATATTTATAGTAATTTCCTCTTTATTGGTATCATCTTCTGCTGGTTTATTTGCCACATTCTCTGTATGTGAATAACTTGAATAACCTTGAGTTATGTACACTTTTATTAATAGTTACACTATTATTCCATTATGCAGTCTGTTAAGAATTATAATATAGATCTATACATCCTATTAGGTTTTACTCAGCTCAGTAGAAGCTATTTCTTGAAGAAGTTTTTAATATATAGGGTTGCAAGCTAGCTGGATATTCAACAATTAAATAATAGGTGGTTAGTTCTTCATCTGAGACCTCTTTTTAACTTCTGAAGATTTGCAAACCAGTTCATCTTAGTTGGCAGAGTTATGTAAGCTAATTTCTATGTATTTCTCTCTCTCTATGTATATTTACATTTCTCATAGTTTAGATAGCTGAATTTTGTTTCTGTTTATAAATTCATAAAATTTTATACAAATTTTGCCTTGTTTTAGGTATAAAATTTAAACCTGTTTTATGAAACTGACTTTTCATCAAGTATACCTTTTTGATGCCTGGTATCTGAAACCTCCTAATTATGCCAGCAGCCACAGTAGATCACAGCCAAAGAATTTGTGAAGTGTGGGCTTGTAACCTAGATGAAGAGATGAAGAAAATTCGTCAGGTTATACGGAAGTTTAACTACGTTGCCATGGTAAGATGATGGGAATATCTATGATCTTCTTTGTTTATGTAGACAACATAAATGATTTGTAAAGGAAATAATGCAGAAGTTCAAGAATAACAAAAGACTTCCATTACTAATTTCACTGGAAACAAGTTCAAAATAATGAGTAAAACTTAGTTCCTAATAAAGACATGCACTTTTATTGTCTTTACATTGTAGTTCCTAGTTCTGTTTGGTTAAATCTCATGGTATATTAATAAAAAAACTAATATTGAATAATTAGTTTAATAAATAAACTAATATTGAACTTCTTTGCACTGGTCCTTGCCTGAGTTAACTACAGAACAATAGTTGTGTTCCATGTTTAGCCTTTTATATCAAGAAAAGTATTCAGAGTGTCTAGCTATAAAAAGTGGTGAGCTTTATTGCTCTTCTAATAGTTTCCATTTTGTCTTTCACATTTATGCTTTTCAGGACACAGAATTTCCTGGGGTAGTTGCACGACCTATTGGAGAATTCAGAAGCAATGCGGACTATCAGTACCAGCTACTCCGCTGTAATGTAGATTTACTTAAAATAATCCAGTTAGGGTTGACGTTCATGAATGAGCAAGGTGAATACCCTCCAGGAACTTCAACATGGCAATTTAATTTTAAATTTAATTTAACGTAAGTTCTGGAATTTGGTTGTGTGTCTTTAAGTGTGTAGAGTATTTTAAAATTGAATAATTTAACTAGTTTATTTTTCAGCTGTTTTTCCATTAAGTTCAGGAAGTGTGGTGAATGCTGCTTATATAAATTAGACTTGTTTTGTTCAAATTCTTAAATCTCATACAATTTTCAATCTCAGATTTGTTATTAATATTATTTTAAAAACTTCTGTTGGAAGCATAGTTGAGACAGGGTTAAATCTTTTGTGTACATGCTTGAACTTTAATCTGATGTCATTCGCTGCATTATATCAAGTATGAATGTAAGAATGCCCACATATGGAGGCTTTGCCATCCACTAGCTTCATTGCCAGGGCAATCTCTGGAATAGTGTTGAGTGCTATGGGCTGAGGTCAGAGGGAAATCAGACAAAATTGGGGCCTTTGTTCAACTGACTTCCTCATGTTGCAAATGTTTGTATTCTCCTGTCTTTTGTTCTTTATAAGATTCTCTGGATCTTCTTAATTTGGTTCCTCATGGGTGCAGGAGTTTCCAGGAAGGAGGAAGCAATAGGAAAAGTTCACTTCCTAACTTAATTTGTGCATCTCTGGATGAAAGTTATTGATATTAGCAGAATTTAGTTTAAATTTACTTTATTCATTTATAATGTATGTAGACCTCCCTAATTGTGAGAATCTGGATGATGTACAACAAGATAGTAAAAACAAAAACAACATTATAGCAAAATATCTATCCAAAGGTGAACATATATAGTCGATTACAGCCAAAGTGTGATAGAATAACCCGATATACTTTCTTCTCTCAGTGGACAAGGTGGTATATGATATATTTCAGTGCTATGTCATGAAAGGCTTAGTAGGTGATCACCAGCACTTTGAATTGAACCCAGAACCTTAATGGTAACTAGTCCAGCTTCAAAAGTGTATTGCTCCACAGAAGCCTGGTTGCTGCATTCTGGTCAATTGCAGCTTTTGGGTCATCACCAAAGGCTATCTTACAAAAAGTGCATTGCAGCAGTCCAACAATGTAGCGATCAAGGCCTGAGTTCCATCATCAGGCCATCCTGGTCGTGGTAGATTGCAAGTGGAACACCAGGTGAAATTGGACAAATATCTCCCTGCCTATGGTCTCTGCCTGCTGTCTAAGCAGAAAGTTGGTGACTTTGGGCCAGTCACTCTCTCTCAGCCCAACTCATCTGACAGGGTTGTTGTTGTGGGGAAAATAGAAGGAAAGAGTATTAGGTATGTTCACCGCCTTGAGTTATTTATAAAAATAAAGGCAGGATTAAAAAAAAAAATTGCAAGTCCACCCTCCTCCCCCCATCATGAACAAATTCCTTCAGAGGGAATATAATCCTGTATAGAGTAGTTATTGTGACAGATGATACTGAATTGTCATGATGTTTTGTTGTTCAAGAGGAATCCTTCATAGGATTTAATCAGACTTTGTTTTGTCCCATCCGGACCATGAAAGCTTCCAGGCAGTTCAGACTTTCTACAGTCAGGTCCAGAAATATTGGGACATCGACACAGTTCTAACATCTTTGGCTCTGTACACCACCACAATGGATTTGGAATGAAACAAACACAATGT